GTGGCACCCCCAAATGCAAGGTGCCTGTAGGTTCCTGTTCTGGTGGGTGCACTTTGCACCTAGGGTAAACCACCCCAATAATTTTGAGATCCAATGAACTGTCATAAGTTATTGATATCATGTTTTCCTAGTGAGGATACTTTATAACACCCACTCCCACCACAATATATAAAAGAGGAAAAGATGGTGGCCAATTATTCGCCCCCCTTTGTGATATTGACAAGGACCTTGGGACATTCTTTTTGAACGTCATATCAGGCTTAATTAGTCATCTTTAACTGGGTCTGCAAAGTGTAGTGCGGGCTATTTTTAATGTTAATGTTACAAGGTATCAAAATATTTGTTGATTAAATCAATTTCTATAATTTTTTCATAAGTTGGTTGCTTTTTGTGTTAATTAACACTAATTGTGTTAATCTCAGGATGGTATTGTTAAAAAAAAGTTTGATTAATAAATAATGCTCTTTCTTATTGCATGTTAAAGATGTTTGCGTGAGGCCGGTAATATGATGTGAGGAAGGGAGTATTGGATTATTGATGAGTTAGGCATATTTTAATCATGGCTGCTTCCTTCTTTTATTCTCCGTTTGTCCCTGGTCATCCGTGTCCTTGAATGTCCTTTAGTTTGTCCCCAAGTTTTTGGCCTCTATATCACATTGTTTACCAAGCTTAATGACCAAAGTAAGGCGGTCTTACAAATATAGGAAACAGAACATTTCTTTTTTTTTTTTTTCATCTTCATGTAAAATCTATATTAAATACTTGCATGCCAGGAGTTATCCCAAAAGTAACAGCTGTTATTTCTAACAACCAAACACATGATTAAATTGGTCTAGCTAGCTGTAATGGCCTTGTTGTAATGATCACTTCTCATTATTGGCTACCTTGGGCTTCACTGTGCTCAGCATACATTCACTCATGCAATTCTTGTTTATGTGCATATTTTTTTAAAGCCCTGGCATGCATCAACCCAGTGTTTGCAGTGTAGGAAATTATAGAAACGTCACGTGATACAGGCTGATGCAAAAACACTAGAAGGTCATAGCAGGGAAGTGGTTAAATGCTTTAATCACATCAGCGGCTTCCTGATAGGTTTCGCCACAGATGGTTCTCAATGTATCTGTTTGTGCTACAGCCCAGGGATGCAGAATGCTAAATCACCAGGCTATTTT